GGCTAGCAATTTTGTGAGCCCTGATTGACCTATGACCTTTGCCCAATTTCCATCAGAATTAAATGTTATAATCTGCTACTGGTATCTGCAAAATCTGAGAATGATATCTTGGAAACTGTGGACAGACTGCAAACAAACAGACAGAGAAACAAATGGAAACGATGACAGACTCGCTCCGCTTGGGGGAGAATGATAGCCTACTCATCAAGTTCTCAAAGAGTTTGTGACATATGAGCATCGTTTTTGAAACATTGCATGGTAAGGTAGCGAAAACACGAGTTAATGTATTAAACAGCTTTGATCGATGTAAAACCTTTGCAAATATCAGGAACTTGCATGAAGGAACAGAGAATCACATGTGTCCTTTTGCATTAACAATACTGCCATTAAAGCACTTCAATAGTCATGATTTTAAACTTATTTGAAGGGTGGGGACAGAAATGATACATCATAATGTGGCAATATTGTATCAATACAGGGACACTAAATATTACTATTTTATTAGACAAAATTAAATATTCTGGGAATGCTACGAACAAGACTTCTCATCTCATCCTGAGATGACGTCAACCGAGAAAACTTAAATCTCTTAAAGCCAAAAGATTCCTGGACACATTTGGCTTGACAAAGCCAACATCCTAATTCAAAGCAAACTAACGGCTCAGTCATACAAGCAAAAACAGGACAACACCTTGCATAAACAATTAAACAGATTCATTAATTAAAAAAATAGATATCTGTGGCTGTGTGCTGATTGTACTTAAATTTGTCACATTCATCCAGGTGATCGCACGATAACTGCACAGGTCGTCTGACAGGAGGAAACCTTTCTGCAAACAGTCGCAGTCTGACTTGGACTCATTCTCTGGGAGACTGTTGAATAACTGCTGTCTAAATTATAAATGCAAACAGATTTTCAACATGTTGCGGTCAGTTTGAATGAGTCAGCGACTGAGTGCCAGCTGGTTGTATTCAGGTTGTATCCCTACAGAACAGGAAGGATGCTGAGAAACTTTTCTGTGTACGTAGACAGTAACAGATATGTGAGTTTATGGCAGTTTGTCACAGTTTATGGCTGTATTACCAGGAACGCATTGCGTGTGATTGCCAACTTGACCTCATTCAAACGGAGATTGATATCAGACTGACTCGATGTTATGGCAGAGACAGAGTCGGCGGTGAGCTGGTGCCAGCTCTGATATTTATCATCTATTGTGTGTATATATATATTTATATTTATATTTCTTTATACATTCTTATATATTTCTATACTGTGTATTTTGTTGTACAGTTATTTTATTTTCAACTTTAATTTATATATTTTATCTTATTCTTTCCCAGTTAAATTTACCCTTCATTCTAATTTGTGTTGTACAGTTATCTCATTCTTAACTTAATTTTTTATATTTTATTTTATTCCTTCCTGGTTAAATTTACCCTTTTTTATTTTCATATTTATTTCCTATCTTATTCATAGCCTTTTTTTTTCTTTAGGTCACGAGCAGTTGTCCAAGCATTTCACTGCATATCGTACTGTGTATGACTATGTATGTGACAAATAAAAATTTGAATTTGAATTTATTTCTGTGAAACACAATAAAGCCCATAATAACATTATTTGTAACGGAACTGCATGTTACCATTTTTAAAAAATATATATCAAAAATTAGAAAAATCTCATATTAAACTTGCTCTGAGAAAATTGCCCGTGCAGCGATACCGCAGAACTCTGTATCTGCAGCAGGATCAGAATCATCAGGACAACTTCAGCTCGTCCTGAATCCTTACACGCACATAGAGAATTCAAAATAGCGCTGAAGTCACTTTATTGGGGGGGAAAAAACCCTTTTATTAGTTCATAACGCACTCAAAGGGTTTGGCCACCAGTGCATCTCTGAGCAGGTTGAGACCTTTTAACTGTCCCGAGAATCAGATCTCAGCTGAGGGCGCTTTCGGTAATTTGGCGCAAGCTGGTCAGTTCCCTCTGTGTTTACGGTTCAAAAGATTTAAATTCTGACAGGCTTCTAGTTCATAACTGTGTGTTTGTGTTGACCTGTATCCTACTTGTTTGGTTTTCTTGCCTGACTACACGGTTTGTGGTTTTATGGTTTACGTGTAATTAAATGTGCCGACACTCGGGTGTAAATTTGGATTAAGACATGAGTACTTAGAAGTATGTACCTAGTACATACTTTATCAATCACATTAGCGTTAGCCTAATCTGAAATACAGCTGCACACATCTGCAGTACGTACCTTTGCCATCAGCAGGGCTGGCTGGGTAATTCTTTGAACACCTGGCCGAGAGCAAACAAGGTCTCCGAACAGCCAGGAAAAATAAAAAGCGCCGTTTGTCCTGTAATAAACGCAAACAGATGCAGTACAAATCAAAGCTGCTGTTCGATAAATCCGCCTCTGTCGAAGCCAAAGCCAGATGAACGCCCAGACAGCGCCGTCCGTCCGAGTCCTCGTCGGCATAAATGTTTCAGTACCTGCGGCTCTTTGGGGAGATGCGGAGGAGCCTCTCAGCAGGAGAAACCACC